TTTTCATAAACTAGGGGAAGCATTTTTAGCATATTACATTTTCCGTGATCCAAGTGTGTTTTTTTTGTTGATTATGCTGCAGGAAGTAGTGTTATTTGCGCTTCTCGGGGCATATATTTCTCCTTTGGGTTGGTAATTTTGACGATCCTTGGAGGTAAAATTAACCTCATTTTCGTGAATGTACTGTAGCGATGATGAGCGTGCTAATTAAACTAATCAAAATTCCGTTTTTCTGTCTTCACCTCGTCTTGCCGTCTTTCAGGCCACAGTAAATGAAAGTGAGATGGTGCTGGCACTGCTGGAGCCAGAAACTTCAAACACATTTAATTTGACAACCGAAGATAGGATTGAAATGTATACAACCGATAGCGAAAGCTTACTTTCATTCCATATGTCGTCACTGCCATATGAAACATTGTATTTTTTGCTTGGAAGCCAAGAGTTCATTGAGGTATTATGTTAGATTATTGAGGCTGAGGTAAGGTAGCTTATTGAAACACCGACTTCTCGGATTTTCGTCTGTTGACGGTTTTTGGCTCTTTTCGAATTTTTACGTAATTTTTCTAAATATTCTTAATTTTCTGAAATTTTGAATTTTGCCCATGACATATGTTTTTTGATATTTTAGTGTAATTCCTTAAAAATATGTTTTTTCTTAAGGCGCAGCCATGTTCGGCAGATGATCGTGTACGATGGTATCTTGAAAATGGTTTATTTCGTGAGGCAATGCTATACGCTAATAAGCATGAGGCAAGCTTGAAAAGTCTTGATGCTGTTGATATTGGTAAACGTTATCTCGGCTCATTGATCGAACAAAGGAGGTTTGCGGAAGCCGCTGCCGATCTTAAAACGGTCTTTTTTCCTGTATTTTCACTTAGATTTTGCCGCTACTTCGTTAAGATGTTTAATTCGTTAAGAACTGTTTTCACGTCCTTCTCTGGTTTTTTTTTCGTCATTTTTTGATATTTCTTGTTTTTAAAGGTTTCACGTTTTCGATACTTAAGTGTTCCGAATTTTTACATTTCTCCCAACATTTCATATTTTTTATCTGTTTTTCTATTTTATGTTTTCTAAATTTTTCCATTT